CCTCAGGCAAAATTATTCTTAACATTTTGTTCCATAGCAAGTTTTATGTCTTCAGATTTATACAGGAGGGTATATCCTGTATATTCCTCATCCTTAAGCTATTCGTTGGCATTTCCAGATAAAATAACCCTCCAGTGTTAAGGCAAGCATCTAAAAGTAATACTGAAAGTATAAAAATCAAAATCCTAGTTCCTTAATTTGTCTATATAATATCACAGTAGAAAACATTAATTCTATTATGGACCACTGATCTTCAGAAAGAAACATAATCAATTAAGAACTGCAGATAAACAACTATAATCAGACCAAGCTTTTTATTTGTTTTTTTTTGGGGGGGGGGTCTTTTTATTCTATTTAATTTACTTATTTATTTATTTTGAATATTCATGAGATACAAAGCTGACTGTCCCCCTCCTGTCCATGATGTGGGGGCCAGATTCATATTGGGGGCATACCCATTGCCAGAAATTACTTTTGTACCCTTTGTCCCCTTCCAATTATCCCTCAACCACCATCCCCTTCCCCCTCTCCCCTCAACTACAATTTGTAGCCCTAGGAATGTTTCCTCCCTCTGTTGGATCACAGCACTACTGGCACTACTGTGGTCTTTCCTGCCTTCCTTTCTTTCTTAGCTCCCACATATGAGTGAGCACATGCAGTATTTATCCCTCTGTGCTTTGCTTGTTTCACTCAACATAAGTTCATCCATGCTGTTGCAAATAGGAGTATTTCATTCTTTTTTATGGCAGAGTAGTATTCCATAGTGTATATATACCAGTTTCCTTATCCAATCATCTACTGATGGACATTTAGGCTGCTTCCATATCTTGGCTATTGTAAACAGAGCTACAATAAACATGGGACTGCAGGTATCCCTTTGACATGATGATTTCCATTCCTCTGGATATTTACCCAGAAGAGGGATTGCTGGATCATATGGAAGACCTATGTGTGGTTGTTTGAGAAACCTCCAAATTGTTTTCCAAAGTGATTGTACTAATTTACAATCCCACCAACAGTGCAGTAGTGTTCCCTTCTCTCCACACCCTCAC